CGCTGCGCCGCCGCCTAGACTAGCCTGGGCTGCTTGTTTTGTCTCTGAAATTGACAAGGACGCAGGGAATCCGCTGCTAAATAATGTTTCTGGTAACTTTCACGTTATTCCCCCCACCCCCACCCTCCGCTCCCTGCCCCCGGGGAGGCACTGGCCCCAGTCTTCCCCGGTTCTCGGCGTTCTCGTCCTGATTTTTTAGCGTTTTTCTTCTCTTTATTTTGTTTCATTTCGCCTTTTGATTTATTGGATCCTCTGGAGGAGGCGAAGGGGGGTTAGGGGTGGGATCCGGGGCTTCCTCCTCACACTAACTCCACTTCTCCCTGGGTTGGCTCGCTACGGTTCTGCTGCCTCCGGCCCGAGCGGCACCTCCCGGCGCCCCCTCGGTCCCTGGCCTCACCGCCCCCTCTCCCTGCTCTAAACGCTACTCTTGGTTCAGACTTTTTCATTTTAAAATTTAAAAACGTTTCCCTTAACTTTCAATTCCGTTGTTTCGGCTGGTTTGTTTTCTGTGTGTGTTCAACTCGTGCTCAGTACTTTTCTCCTTTCTGACTTTGTTTTTATCTCTCTCTCTTTCTCTCACTTTCTCACACCCCCCACTCCTGCTTCCCTCCTCCTTCTTTCATCTTCCCTTCGTCTTTCTCTCTCTCTCATCTCTATTCCTTTCCCACTTCTCCCTTTGCTCTCTTCTCCCTGCTTCTTTTTCGATTCCCCCTCGGCTTTCCTCGCTCTCCCTCACCTCTTGCGCCCCCCTCCCCTTTGCCGGGTTCTGACAGTACGATGAGCTGCCCCATTACGGCGGGATGGACGGAGTAGGGGTGCCTGCTTCCATGTACGGAGACCCTCACGCGCCGCGGCCGATCCCCCCGGTTCACCACCTGAACCACGGGCCGCCGCTCCACGCCACGCAGCACTACGGCGCGCACGCCCCGCACCCCAATGTCATGCCGGCCAGCATGGGATCCGCTGTCAACGACGCCTTGAAGCGCGACAAGGACGCGATCTATGGGTAAACCAACACCCCCCACCACCCCCATCCCGACCCAGCATACTGTATGTGAGTGTGTGTTTGTCTCTGTGGGGTTGAGGGGTTGGACGGCTAAGCGGGGAGTTACTTCTGCTTAGGGGGTGGGGGCGCTTGCCTTAGGAAAGGACAGTGAAGGGGGCCTGCTCTTCTGCCCCTAGAGTGTAAGTCCCTGGAAGGTATGGCTTCCTCCACCCCCACGGCCCCGTCAGTCCGGATCCCGTAGCTGGGAGTGACTGAATCCTCAGAATCTTGCCAGGGCCTAATCCCCAAGGACGCGATTCCTGGCCAAAGGACGCAGAGCTGGTCCTTCCAGGCCCCCTAACAGAGGCCTTGACGAAGGAGAAAGTTTCCTGCCGACGAGGAGCAACTTTTTTTTTTTTTTCTCTCTCTCTCTCTCTCCTCGTTTCCAACCGAAAGTCTGGAGTCACTAAATGCAGCTTGAGCTGGGATCAGGGCTGCTTCTGTCGGCCAGGAAGTCCTAATCACCCACTTCTTAATTCTCTGTAAATAAAGGGGGCAGACCTTGAAGTGCAGCCGGGTGGAAGGGACTGCTGCTTGCATAGAAACGCTCTTGAGGGGAGTAAGGAAGCTGGCTGGAAATAATTTTATATTCTGAGAGAACTCAGGGAGGAATGGGGCTTCACGGTCCAAACGTGTACCACTCGGGCTCTACCAGTTGAGGGTAGGTAGGGAAGGCTGTGGGATGCCGAGGGGAGGGGACAGTCTGTCAGCAGCAACTGAGCTTGAAGCCAGAGGCCGCAGGCATCCCGAAGTGTAGTTAAACCGCCCAGAGGAACACAAAGGGCAGACGCACACGCACACTTCCAAGTTTTAACATTCGATTTATTTTTGGCCTGCTGGAGAAATGTGTCTTTGGAAGGAAGCTCTTCGGCGTTTAAGAGTCCTATTATTTTGGTCTCCATGCCCCGGCTTTACTAGAAGTAGAGCAAGCAAGTTTACATGGCCAGGGGCTGGAGAGGTTAGAAGAGCACTCTCCGATTTAGGAAATAGCACCTTGGCTGCGTATGTAGGTGAAGCCTTTGGCCTCCTCTGAAATGGCCATTAAAATGCAGAGTTAAGGTAGTTTTTGATTCCACAGTGTTCCTTTCTTGGGAGGTCAGGGCTGGGTCTTAGTGGTTGGTTCGGCGGTCTCTGTAGTGTGGGGAGTGGGTCTGGATCCACTCCAGGCTCTAGACTGACCGAGCTACTTGGATATTTCATTACGTTCCAACTGAAACTCTTTTTATTTGACCGGTTAAAGTGGCCAGGGGCTTCTCCCAGCCGATCTGAGGGACTCCTGAGCTGAGGGAAAGGGCCAGGCCGTTTTTCCTTTCTGTTTCTGGCCCAAGCTCGACTGGATGAGGAAGGGTTGTAAAGTGTGATGCGTGCCTGTTGTATTAAAGAAGGAATCCGAACCCTCCAAACTTGTTGATTACAGTTCTTGCTCCTTCCCCTCTGCACCCCGTCTCCGTATGTGTGTCTCTGCGTGGCGCTGCCCGTTAGGCACCCGTTGTTTCCTCTGTTAGCTCTGGTCTTTGAGAAGTGCGAGCTGGCGACCTGCACTCCCCGGGAACCCGGAGTGGCCGGCGGAGACGTCTGCTCCTCCGACTCCTTCAACGAGGACATCGCAGTTTTCGCCAAGCAGGTCCAACCTTCTTGACCCACTCACCCTTCTGTAGCCCTCACCTCCCCCCCTCCCTTCCCTCCGAGCTTTACATGAAAGAGGAGGAAAAGGCCAGGACACCCGATCTGTTCCTCGGGCCCAGTCCGCCTTCAACGCCTCCTCCCCATCCCTGAGCCTGAAGGCGAATTGGAAGCGGAGATAAATATGGGTGTTTGTTTTTCCCCCCAGTCAGGAATACAGGGGCTCGACCCTCGAATTAAAATTGACCTGCTCCTAATCTGGGGCTTGGCCTTTTCTCCAGCCTGCAGCTACTTGAACAAGAATTGGGGATAGGGGCTATGAGGGACCCGAGAGTGCCCGGGAGGGAAGGAAGGAAGCTGGGCGCCTCTCCCGGCGGTCCGCGCCGGGCGCGGTGGAGAGCTAGGCTGAGAGCCGCGGCCCCTTGGACGGCAGAATAAGGGGATACTCGGGGCCCAGAGCACGGCCTTTTATTCCCCGCCACAGTTCAGCGGCTCCAGGGATCCCGTAATGGGGCCAGGACCAGAAGGCCCTGAATCTTTTCAGCTGACTCTATTAATTTAAGGCACTAGCTTGTTTCATGTATTTTACCAAAGCCCCTCTCATCTTCTGTGCTACTGCCCCTCCACCATCCCCACTCACACACTACAGATTAGTCGGTGACAGGGTTTTTCTTCTTTTAAATGGAATGGTAATTCATGCTGACTTTTCCTGCTTCTTATAGGTTCGCGCCGAAAAGCCACTTTTTTCCTCAAATCCAGAGTTGGACAATTTGGTAAGGCTCACTGTTTCTTGCCTTTCCCCAGCCTGGGCCCCTTCCCTTGCCCAGGAGCACCCACTTTCTCCCGGAGCTCCGGAGAGTTTGAGCAGAGCCTTCCTTTGAAGCTCCAGAGCTACAGGGAGGAAGGGACCAGCTTAGAGCCCCCGCAAAAGCGGTGGGAGTGAGGGGCGGGATGGACGTCTGGGAGAGCGGAGCCCAGAGAGGCAGCCAGCGGGGACGCAGCGCCGAGCGCCCGAGCAGGGGACGAGTCCTAGGTCTCGGCCCCGGGAGTGAGGCTGCGAGAAGTGAGTTATTTCCTCTGTTTGCCAGGGCAGGCGGTGGAGCCCGGGGCAGCAAACCCAAAGGAAGTTAGGCGCGGCGGAGGGCGGTCCGGGGAGGTGGGGAGTGGGGGGGTTAAGGGGGGCAGGCTAGCGCAGGCCACTTTTAGGTGCGATTCTTTTGCTAATTTGCCCGATTTCAATATTAAAAGTACTTAAATCCGCTTTCAAAGGCTCTGCCTCACCATTCATCTTGAGTATTTCCTTCTTTAGTAAGGACGGATTTCGCTGGGTGTGCAGTTCTAAAAAGCTTTCTCTCTCCAGAGAAGCGACTTTTTTTTTTTTTTTTTTAAATTTGACTTGAGGTCGAAGGAGGGGACGGTTAAAGAGGGCCCAGGCGGAGAAAGAGGGCTTGTCCCTAGGAAAGCCGTCCTTACAAATAGCGTACTGAACGTGAGGGGCAAAGATATCAAATGCTTCGGCTCAGGTTGAGTCAAGATTCCTACCCGGTGGCCAATGAGGCAGAGCTGATCAGTAATCACTTGGGTTTTCTGACGATTTCTTCGAGTGTGGGTTTTGCCTGGCCACTTGCCTGTTTCTTCTCCCTATTCCAATTCCCTCACCACCCCCAACTCCAAGTCACAGAGTCTTAACTCCACACTAAACTTTTCTTTCAGATGATACAAGCAATACAAGTACTAAGGTTTCATCTTTTGGAGTTAGAAAAGGTAAGCAGGAAAAGACACTCCCCACTTTGATTTAGACTTCCCTCTCCTAGCTGAGTTGGGATGTTTTTACCAAACCTCCAGTGTAAGGGGTTGAGCACCTGGAGATTCTGAGCAGCATGTTAGCAGGTCCTTCCTTCAAGTTGATCCCCTATCCAGGGGCTCAGAGGATGGGTGAATTAGGACAGCCTGTCTTTTAAAGTAGCTCCCCCCCGCCTTTTTTTCCCCAGGCATTCGGGATTATTTTGAAATGCAGCAAACCATTTGTGTTACTGGACATTCAGCCTGCTTGCGTCTCTATTAGCTCAACTCACCCTCCGCCCAGAGTGTGCATTAGGTGCAAACAGAGGGGCTCATCCTGGCTGGGGTGTCTGTACATTGCTCTGCAGCTCAATCACTTACCCTTGGAAACATGCAAACCTCCTAGCTTATTGAATCGCAAATTTTAATGCTGTTCCTAGTTCAGCATTCTAACATTTCGATGTTATCGTCAAATCGGATTTTCCTCCCTGGACTCCCAGTCTGAACCCAGTTATTGCCAGTCCTGTTTCTTCTCTCTTTTCTGTGACTTGTTGCTCAGGGAAGTCTCTGGAGAACAATATCTGCTGCAACAATTGCTCTATTGTTTCCTCACCTTCAACTATTGCACTCATTAATTAGACTTAGGTTGGAAGACATTGCACTGCTGCTCTTTCCAAATGTACCCCCCTGCAACCTGATATTTTTCCTTTTAAAAATGAAACAAAACAATAACAACAACAACAACAACAACACAGCTGAACCCTCCACCATGACCCTCCTTCTAGGTCCACGAACTGTGCGATAACTTCTGCCACCGGTACATTAGCTGTTTGAAGGGGAAAATGCCCATCGACCTCGTCATTGATGAAAGAGACGGCAGCTCCAAGTCAGATCATGAAGAACTTTCAGGCTCCTCCACAAATCTCGCTGACCATGTAAGTCTGTGAGCCTCTGGCATTTTTTCTTTCTTTTTTTTTTTAAAAAAGACCATTGGGCAAAGCATTGTTTTAAACCTAGCTCCATTCACTTAGCTTTCTTTTTAAGTGATTTGGTCTCTTTGGGGGTCTTTTTCTTCCTTTCTCACTACCTCTGCCATACTCTTTCTCTCCGTTTCCCTTTCTTGGAACCCTGTCCTTTTTTATGTTGAGAACCAAAAAAAAAAAAAAAAACCTGGGAGTTGATAGAGTGATTTGTGCTCTTAATGTGTAAAGTTTTCTGGATTTGGTGACTTGAGTGTTAGCAAATTGTCTGTTTGATATGGTGACTGCTGCCTTTTCTACTTTCTCAACTCTGCAATCAGTGCAACAGGAAGAGAGGCAAGACAGCTAGCTGGACAGGATGGGGAAGAAAAGACTGAAGGAAAAGAGAATTGGGGAGGGGGGCTGATTTTGCAGTCTTTCACAGAGATGACAATCCTGAGAATTATTGGCACTCTTGCATTTCATTAGAAATAAAAGGAGTGAACACTTTACAATTCTCAGAGCTTTTACTCTGTAGAAACTTATTGTCAGAATATGGACTTATTGCCAAGTGCCTGAAGCATCTTCATAATAAAAGACAGTAACCTTGATGAAACAATTATTAACAATATATTGCAGAAAGCTGAGGGGAGTTGTGATTGAGTAACCATAGGTTAGTGGTTGAATTTTAACACTTTGACAGTTGGTGAATGAGGGTGGAGAGTATAGTAAGGAGTGACTGTGGATGTCAGGCCAGGAAAGGAGATTTCTCTCTATTCTCTCTGTTTTTAATCCTATTTTGGAACTGATCTAGTGAGTCTCATGCTTAAAAAAAAAGCATATGTAGTGAGACTGAAAATTTGAAAAAAGAAGCAAAGAGAAAAAGGATTGCAGCTGGTAGGAAAGGCAAGACTGGGGAGGTTAAAGAGTGGGTGTGAACAGCAGTTTATTTATAGGAACTCAATCCTGGGGGTGGGGGACAGGGTGTCTATAGATTGCATTCAATTGAACTCACAACCTTAATGATATAGGCAATAGTTGAATAACTTGGTGGCTGAAATATTAATTTAACACTATATGGGGTTAAACAGGCCTTGAGACTTGAAGGCAGTTTGTATTACCACCCCTCTCCCCATTCCTGGGTGTTAAGAAGAATGAGTTCAGATGCCTTGAGAATAAACCTTCTGTGAGGTTCTTCTCCCTCACCCCTACACCCCCCCCACCAAAAGTTTTGAAAATATGCAGTCATATATTTTAATTATTAGTCTTTGTGCTGCATGGAAAGCCAGTCTAAGAACAAATGTTTAAAAAAGAAAAGGAAAAACAAAAAATCTCAGTCCTGGATGTCTAGTTCCAAGAGAATGAACACTATGGCTTTGAAAGCTCCTGTCCCTATCTTTGCTCTTGGCTTTTCCCACCATAATGGGGGAATAGTTTGGAAGTTCTTTTCTATATTCAGTGTATTAACTGAAATCAAAAGGGTACAGCAGCATCTATGGAAAAGTTTATTTGCTGATATGTAGCTATGTGATCTATGTGTGGTGTGGTTGTGGTCCACGAGGCATGATACCACACTAGAAATGTTTGTTGTTGTTGTTGTTATTTATTTGTTTATTTTCACTGCTTTCTGTTTCTAAATTCATATGCATTTTACAATATTGAGGGAATGAGAAAGAATCTAGTTACATGGTTTGTAGAATGAGAGGGTCACAGTTGCCTGCAGCCAAAAAGCTTTTCTTACGACAATTCCAGGGGTCTTGACTCCTTGGTTTTCTAGAACAGTTTCTTGGCAACTGTTTCTCAAGTGGAGGTATGGAACTAGAACATGCTGATGTTTACATAGAAGTGATGAGATAAACTAGACTGCTGAGCATATTGGCTGAAAGACAATGCCTATTTATGGAACTATTGTAATATTTAAATTACACTGGAGAAGGAAGTTGTACCTAAGAGGATAATGCTTTAATAACTTAACAATCACAATCTTTGGATAAAAGAGTTAGCTATAACATTTGTTGCTCCTCTTTTGGGCCCCCAATCAAGTAGATATGACAACTGATTTATTTTGAACTCGTGAGGGCTTGCCACCTCGTTGGGCATCAGAATTTAAAGCCTTTTATTTCCTAGAGATCTGAGCTATAACATTTTTACTTTAGCCCCCTGCTATTTGTTTTGAAAGGAAGCAATAATTTGTTCCACCAGTACATCGTGTGGGAAATGGCATGGTTTGCCACAGACTTGAATTTTATGCAGGAGGTGAGAGAAAACCTTGGTGAGTTTTCACCATTTTCGATACTTTTGTACCAGAAGTATATTGATTATATTCATTTCCAGGCCTCCCACTACAAAGCAAATTCTCTTAGGCTTCAGCCTCTTCTGCAAGTTCTCCCTCCCTCAACCCCCCAGCCACAAAAAGGTGAAAAGACCACAAAATCACTACCTAAAAAGTGGTATGAGTGGGACGTTTTCAGCATGTAAATGTGTCCAATTTGAATCTCAGGTTTATTTTTTCATTTGCTTTGATATGCATATTTAATACATTGCCCCAGGCTAGATCTCATTTAGTGCACGCTGGTGCAGGGGTGATGATGAGCCACTTCAGAAGGCCCAAGACAGCGTGTTGTTTTCTCTGTTTTATCTGTTGGCCCACTATTCTGATCTACTGTGCTTCCTCATGGTTTTATTTGCACATGAAATGCTGAGAGCATTTCAACTTATTGGCTATGAATAATGACAGCTAAAAAAGAAGTGTAGTTTAATTTGTTGTGTGCCAAGGTTTCTCTTGTGGAGGTGACAGTTTGTGACAGCTGTTTGACACCCCCAAAACACATATACCTCTGTCCTTATTAAGTGGTAGCAAGCTACGTGTGTGTGCATGTGTGTGTGTGTTTAGGAAGGAGCAGGCAAGGAAAGAGAGGGAAAAGAATAAGTATGTAATTCTGTGTAGTGGAAAGCAGACAGAAAAGCATCAAGAGCAAATTATTAGGTACCACAATAGCTTGAAAATTTCTTATTAAAAATTTTGAAAATAGAAATGAATATATTATTGATATAAATATCTTGAAAGCAAGTTTTTATTTTTGACGGACTTTTAAGAATGAGTTTTATATACTATTACTTGATAAATCAGACTGTTGTCATGCTGATTTCACATTCCACAATTTCATGTAAATAATCTGATGTAACACAGATGCATTAAAAGAAGACAACCATAATGTTACATTCAGTAAAGATGTGGAATTTATTTATTGTTGACACTTACATGATGGGTGTAATAATAAAAGGAAGCCTGGAATTAAATGGAAAATACAATTTACAACATTGGCTACTATTTCATTTTGTTTAACAAATTCATAATGAATGCTTATATTTTTAATATTATAGTGTATTTTATGTTATACTCATAACAGTAATTGTTATAAGTAGGAAACAGCTATTATAGTATTCTTTGAAATATTGAGGAGAAAACTATGATGGTGAAGGAAATACAGTTCTTTTTTCCAGCTGCAGTTCATGTTAAGTTTCCTAGACATTCAAATTTATCATGTTTAAAATAAACATGTCAAGAAACCAATTCTTTAAAAAAATTTTAACTTGAAAACTGTTGTAGAATAGTTATGCTTTTCCTAGTCTGTAGTAATTCTGAATAATAGTTGATATCCACATTATCTACTTTACATAATTTTAGGTCGAGTCTTTAGTGCAGATAAATGAAATATATCTTTATATTTACATATAAAGGAGATAGAGTAGAGTAGATCAAGTAGACAAAGAAATATATTTATTTGAAATGCATTCTCTAGGCTAAGTTCTACTTGCCTGAAGTATATACAGTTATACTGTTATTCTTAATTAATGTTCATAAGAAGCTACATTTTATTTTTTAAATAAATTAAGTATAGGGAAGAAAACAACTGTATTTATTAACAGTTAATGACAAATGCCTTTAAATTGACTTGCTCTGATAATATGCCTAATAAAAGAAAAATTGTTTTAATTTTTATGTTGAAATCTGTAATTTAAATGAAGATACACTATTGCTTTCTTTTGCATCTCTGAATATGTCAAATTTATTTGTGTCACTACAGTGTTAAGAAATGGGTTAAGTCAGAGAGGAGAATCCCCAGAACCTCGTTCCTGACAGAATATAGGCAAATGTATATAGAAATTCTGTTATTACCTGAAAAATTAGAGAGGAGTAGGCAGCAAGGAGGGTGATAGGTTTAAGAGATTGGTCTATAGACTATCAAGGGGGAAATAATGAGATTTGATAATAATAATAATACGAATGATTAATTTTATCAGATAGTTTCTTACATTCTCCTGTAAGATTAGATGTTGCAATGTGTTATCCAAGCCTCTGTGGATCTGTTCTGGGAAAGTTCTACCCTCAGCTCTGTTTACTGTCTGAAGGAGATATGGCTGAGGGCATGAGTTTTCTGTTGTTATTGTTGTTGCATGGTTTCTGTTGGTTGATCACTTTTATGACAATTTCCCATCAAAAATAATAATATTATTTAAATCATTTAGGTTGTGCAGTTGAAATACGTTTTTAGTGTTATTATGATGAAATGAAATCAAACAAAGATGCACTTGACAACCATAGACATTTACTATAGGTTAAGAATGATATTTTAAAATTCATTTATTTTTTATATTTTAGACTAAATATTCTGTGGAATATCCTAACACAATTCAGAACTATAGGAGACATAATATGACATTATACCAACAATACAAGACATTTCTGTCTTTTCTAAAAGTTACCCCGTTAAATGGAGGAGTCATTTGTAGAGAGTACTTGCCACTTCTGTGAAAGCTGCTCACATATTAATTCCCAAAACTTAATAGATGGGTAGAAGCGGAGAATGAAGGAAAGACCCTGGCTTTATTTACATTTTTAAAGATTGAATCCTTGTTCTGAAAGCACACACACTTCTCCTGAGTTCTTATGTCAACTTTAGAATAACTAAGTTGAAATTCCAACATTTTTTCAAACCAAACAATTGACATTTTAAACGTTTGTAGGCTTGAATACCTCATAATAGGAGTTTTCATCTTATTTAAAAAAGTAATTTTTACATAGCGTCAATTAGGAGTTAAAACATCACAAAATCATAGGAAATATGTTAACAGCATTAATTATGTTTTCTGATAGAAGCATATCTTGCCTTTGTTGTTTAAACATATCGCCATATTAGTTTTGCATGCTCCATTTGCTGATTAGAATGCCTTTGTATATATTTACGATTACTTTTTACCTACGAGCATGCATTCTGAATTACTTTACCGTATTTTCCAAATTTATTTATGATTTTTGACTCAGCGTTACATATCACGTTTTCATTGTGTAGGTTCTATAAAGTCGAATGTTATTTTAAAGTATTTTAAAGGCTAGAAATAAGAAGTGAAAGTGACCTAAGGGTTTATCTTGTCTAACTTCTTAATTTTAAAGTGATAAAGAAAATAAGTTCCAGGAAAATAAATGCGTCACTTGCTTAAGTTCATGTGATCGGTTAGAGGAGACACCCCAGAGTCTTAATTCCAATCTAATGCTCTCTCTCCCATACCACATCCACTGAATCACCTTTTCATTTGGGGGGGTCTGAGATGAGTTTCAGATTATTTTAGGTAGAATTTGTGTGTAGTGGCATTTTTTTCTTCTTGAAACCTAATACATTTTACTTTCCCACTCAGTTTTGAATTTATTTAGAAACTCTCATACATTTATTTACTCCATTGTCTCTTTGGGTGAAAGAACCCTGAGCCGTGTGGAATCATTTAAATTGAAATATCACCAATTCACCAGAACTTATTAAAGGGTATCCTACAGGCAGGTCCCCCACAGAAATGTCATAATGGTGTAAAATGTTTCAATTTCTACGATATCTGTAGCCTCAACAAAAAAGGCACCCATATGATTTGCTTCCTATACTCAGAGACTCTTGTCCTCTATATGCTCTTTCCTAGATTTAGCAAAATTCAATGATGGTGCTAAATCATTTTTTTTTTTTAACTTTCAAGGGAGAAAACACTGGCAGAATTGTGTTTTCTAGGGAAAACTCTGTGTAAATGAGAAACAGGAGAGCAGCAGAGTGATCTCCTGTGGCCCTACTTCTACAAGCTCTCCCCATCTTGTCTCCTGCTTTTATATTAATTACAAGTTGCATTATCAGCTGTGAGTCTGTAGCCCAGCAAATAGAAAATACTGCCCCTGGAGACCTAGCTTCTTGTATCTATTTTCCATCTCCTTCTCTTGTGCTCCACTCAGTATTCACTGCTTTTCTCCTGCTAACACCGCTCTTTAATGCAATTACATAAGAGCAAGAAGAGTACCACATTTGACTCCCAATTATTAAAGCCACTGGGAATAGAATCATGTTCACTCCTTGCCCTCGGGTGTCTTCACAGAACTTTTGGCTGAAGAACACGACATGTATCGTGGAATGCATACTTACCCACACAGCATTTCTCTTTATTTTTCTACATACGTCATGTGTTTTACATACTTTCATTTGCCACTTTGGTTTCAAGATTCACTAAACTTCTGCATATAATTTGGCAGAGAGCCAGGCCGTTATTCTTGTAGGATGTAAACTTGGAAACTGTCTAGGGAGAGAAAAGAAGAAGAAAGGGGTTGTGATATAAACAAATATTTCAATTTAAGAAAAAAAACCGGTATTATGGGTAATGGATTATATTTTATCTGTCCATGTAGGTTATAATTTTTTATAACAAAGAAGGTAGCAATTTTTTATTGACCAGATTATCAATACTTATCTTTGTATATGATCACGTCACCATGGCGTAGCTGAATATGGACAACTTTGGGGTAACTACTCAGCTTTGAAACTCCAGAGAGATTTATCTGTTTTTCCTGCTTTCAAGTTAGATGAATATTCTGGTACTCCTTGGTTTGTGTCAGTCTTTCAAACTAGATCATAATACTTGAGACACTCTATGGAATTAAACATCTGACAGCACCTTTTTAGGAGAGCGTTTTTGAGGATCGAAGGGAGAAAAGAGGAAAGAGATAGGGGTGTGGTGGGTTAGATAGTGAACTTTAGCCAATTTCAGATCTGGGCTGAAAACCAAAGACCCAACTTGTTTGGAGGAACTAACTGGCTGCTCTTAAAGCAATATTTGCTTATGTGGCTTATTTTTTACCCCTTTACTTTAGAAAACACCTCCGTTAGAAAACCATCGAAAGAAACAAACCAAATTATAAATTAATGAGCCCTGACTTTAAAACTCAGCACAGGTTTGGCTGATAGGGACAAACCAGTATTTTCAGTTGCTGGAAGTCCTTCTGAGCAATCCCTTCAAGTCACTGTAGTGCCAAAACGGAAAGCCTCCCTCCAGTTTCATTCAAACGATTATATAATAGCTATTGGATGACATTTGCCTTAAAACATAGTTGAGGTGTTAGTGGTTAATTATTGTAATTTTCATGAGGGGTAAGGAGCTTTTATAGCAGCCGGCTTAATAAAAGCCTGCAGCGCATAAAATTAACATCACTTGCTGTGTACACTGAAAAGTTTAGCTTAGGTGAATGTGTTGCAGCTATTGTAATTTCTAAAAGAAGCCTCTAGCCACTGTTGTTGCAGGACTAACTCACATCATGCTGTTGTTTCTCTGTCTCTCTGTCTCTCTCTCTCTGTCTCTCTCTCTTTCTCTTTTCATGTAATTCTTTATCTGAGTACCATCCGGCAAATAGCTGACACAAAGAGGCTGCAAAATTTGAAGAGCCCCTGTATGCTGTTTGCCTTTAGGTTGAAATTATTGGAGCAGTTTCTAACTTAGATAAAAAAAAAGAGATAGCAGGCACAACTTTGTCTTAATACGGGCAGCAGAGATCCTTGGTTTTCATTTTATTCTGCTCAACTTCGTTCCCCAATCCACTTTCTAAAACATATTTTTATTTTAGGATCTATACCTTTGCTATATTTATAGTCACAAAATTTCTGCTTAGGGTTTTCATTTTGAATCAATTGCATGCCTGATGATAGTGCTAGTAGCATCGTTTGATGTAGATGTTATTAATCTATACAGCTTTGGATAATTTCATCATCTATCGAAAATGCTAAGTATTAATTTACAGCAGATCTGTAGAGGGAAAAAAATGAGTTTTTTTTTTCAGTGTCGTTCCAAATAAAAATAGTCCCCTATTTTGTCTCACTTTGGTTTATTGATTTTATTTTGGTAAAATTTTATGTTCTATATATACATTATAGAATTCAGGAGAGTGATAGACTGACTTTTTTTTCCCTCTGATAAACTAGATACAATGACAACATGGTAAGATTGCTTTCAGATGGTCAAGATGTTTGCATGTTGCCTATAGGCATGTTGGTTTGTCCAAATCCTTAGTTACCAATTCTCATAAGAAGAAATATAGTGTACTTTGAGAGATTGATGTTTTTAAAAAAATTTTCCCTCGAAGAATTTCTCCTCCAAAGAATTTGCTTGCAGTAGTTCTGTGGGCTTAGTCAAAATCATCTCATACAGGTGACAAGTGTACAGCTCTGGCCTTAAGGCTGGTCTATTTCATGTGCTGTCCCTACCCTCCGTTTCTGCCAGAGGAAATTCCATCTCTTGCCTGCCTTCATGTGGTGCTGATAAAGTCCTTCCTGTACATTAGAATTCCTGTTTTCCTTTAAGCAGCAGCAGGGTATTGGGAATGATCAGGAAAGGGGAGGAGGAACAGGAGAAGAATACACTCAGCAAAGTAGCATGAGCTGTAACTCTCGGTTTGCCTCGCATGTCCTGTGAAACAAATAGTTCTTTCAGGAAAAAGCACTGCTTTAAAGCTCCCATGGAGTTCATATGAAAGTCCTATCTGGTTTATTAGATGGCTAACGGTTCATTGTTGTTTCATTTTGTTGTTGTTTGTGCAACTTAAAGCAAAATTGGTCATTTATTAGGTATTGATGCAGTGATTAATATTACTGTGTCTGTTGGTTGCATAATCAGTCAATGACAATTTTGGGAGTTCACTCAGGCTATTTCAGGGCAATGCACTTGAAAGGTGCAAAAAGCTGTCTCATACATTCTTGACTCTGTGGGGTTTTTTAAAAAAGAGTCACTGAGTTTTGCAGATGTTAATGTTCTGAAGTATTTAGTAACCAAGAGCAATGGGACCTACTTCATAGAAGAGTGTGCCCCAATTAAGATGGCAAAAGGAAAAATGGCTTAGATTTTTAAGCAAGCTTTTCCTACTACCTTTAAAAATTAACTTCATTGAGGTATAATTTGTATATAATAAAAACGCCCTCATTTTAAGTATCTATTTCAATTATTTTTAACAAATGTATACACTGATGTAACCATCACCTCATCAAGATTCTATAGTATCTTTTCTTTATTTTGGTATCTATTGCTGAAAAGACAACATACTATATATAGTATGGCATCTATATATGTCTAGTTCCACAAATACTAATATGTACACATTTTTTGTCTCTCTCTGCACCTTTCTTCTTGGTTCCTCATTTATGGTCAAAATGGTAATTGTGGAAAAATCCCTTGGAATCCTGACATCAGAATCCTGCATCTTGGCGAGATCACGATGATGCAACCTCTACCCATTCAGCAGGCACCCCGGGGCCCTCCAGTGGGGGTCATGCTTCCCAGAGTGGAGACAACAGCAGTGAGCAAGGTAAAAGGTCAAGCATTTTCCTTGTTCAAAGTAGGCATGACTAAAATAACTTCAATATTTTATATCATCAGTACTTCTGCCTCCCTGTAAAGAGGAGAGTGGTAGGTTAGGGAGAATAATCAGCTGCTATTTAGAGAGATACTGTTCCCTCTCCTTAACTTACATTACTTAAAAAAATCGGAGTGAGATGTCTAGTCTTTAAGTAGGCATCACACTAACAATTGATTAGTTCTGCCAGTTCTTTTACAAATTTGGTTATCTATACTTCTGTGTGTGTGTGAATAAAGAGAATGATAGACCTTTGCAGCTATGACACTGCAGTTTAAATTATACTATAAAACAGGATATTTTGTTTGTAGTACCCACTGTAAGAATTCTCTATAATCAAGCAATGATGCCTCTAAAGCACATAAGATGCAAAAATCTGTTCTTTTTATCTCTGGTAGTACTGCACGAATTTTATATGAAATCTTTTCTTGGGAAGGCGAATTGTGAAATTTTTAGAAGGTTATTTGTTTCCATGCAGCAGACATGGTGACTTTTGTCACAAGTCCTAAAAACTGGAATCATCAGAGGCTGGTGTGGGGGGATGTCAACTGCAGATGATAAGGAAATCTAGTGTAATTTAGAATAAATTTTATCATTTAAAACTCACCTATTGCACTAGAGCAATTAAATATTGGTAGGGATGACTCATATTGCTAAAATGATAATTTAAAGGAAGATGCATTATTGAATGTGGGCCAGGAGAGTGTATAGATTTTACTTTTTAATATTTTACATTAGATGGTGTCTAATCTCCTAGGTCTATTTCATCTCTATTAGGACTGTGTTTATGGCCACAATATTTAAGTATTAGACAGTCTTCCAAGTAGAGGACAGTTTAACAGCTTGAGCTGTAGTCATATATGCCATTTAAAAGAAGGTGGTTGATGTGGAGTGAGTGTCTTCACTCTTCCAAGTTTCCGGCCATGGATTTTGGATTCCTGGTTTTCTAGTAGAGTCTGGGAAAACGTCCCTTCTGGGATACCATTAACTTGTGAATGGGTCCAAATTAGAATCTAGGTTTAAGCAAGTTGCAGCTGAATACTATCAGATGGTAAATTGTAAAAGAGCTTGTGAATCATATCTTTTGAGGCTGATATACTGTTTTCATTAGACCAGTTAGATTGTATATAAGACAACTAAACTATACGGTATTTCAAAGATAACGTGTACATAACTTCAATGAATCTGCAATGCAATGGTTTAATTGCAGTTCGATGTCATGGTGATGGACTGACTTCGCAGTGTGGTCGAATCTGGCAAGCTTTCTATGACACCATCCTCCCTACCACCCCAAATTGCTTAGACATAAAGAGTGAAATGTATCTATTAATAAAAACAAAACACCCTAAACACTGTAAAAAAGAGGGGGAAAGGAGAAGCAGACTTAATAGTCTAATGAGGCTATCTTCCAAAGACTTGTTGTGTGTGAGGCTCGCTTTGACCTTTCACTTTGCTCAGGAGCCCAGCGCTTCATTTTTCACATTCTTGCAATTACGTTAACGCTTCAAGCATTTCTGACTCCAAGTCAGCTAGCAACACCAGGCATAACTCAACACTGTGAGTTTTTCTCCTCTCTGTAGATTCATTAACAGGTCACCAAGGTCCCAACTGAAATTTAAAACTGACTGGTTCTGTTGGGTTGGTTGAGTTATGGCAAGGGAGATAGCAGGAAAGGACCAGTGAGAAGGGGAGGGGGAGAGAGAAACCCTGGGGTTTGGAGCACGGAATAGTTGCAGCAACGGGCAAGGCATGGAGTTTTATCATTTTGGTTAGTTTTGTTCTGTTGTTGTTGGTTTCTTCTTCTTCTTCTTCTTCTTCTTCTTCTTCTTCTTCTTCTTCTTCTTCTTCTTCTTCTTTGTTTTATTTTTTCTTTTTTTTTTCAGTCAAGAAAGAAAAAACTTCAGACAGATATAATGGGTAAAAACAATATGTACAAACTTCTATGCTGTGAGTAGCTGCACTCACTTATCTGGTGTTGGAGATTTGATCCCTGTTGGATTTTGTTCCTTTAATCACACCTCGGTGGGAGTAAAGAATGGACATGGTAGCTTCTGTGCATGAGTACTAGGAATTCAGTCATTTTACTGTATTAAAATGTAAGGGACAAAAAAAGTTGTTATTCCTATAAAATGGACAATGTTTTGGCATGGACAATTTCTTACCTAGCTTCTCATATCAGTGGTTCTCAAATCACATGTTTAAGCGTATTTTGCTTTTTACAGCAGACTCGAAATTTTGAAGGCCAGACTCGAGTTTGTTTTGTCATACTTGTGCCCATATTAGTCTTTAAACATGTTTTCAAGATATTTTTATATTTTGTCCCACGGAATTGTCCAGAGTAACTTTCTGTGAGAAAGATTAATTATCTGCTTCAGGGCAAAGTCAACAAAGATATTGACTGAAATCACATATGCTTATCCTAGGTTAACTCTGAGGGTTGATGTATAATGAAAAACCTAAGAGGAAAATTTATGTTCTTAGTATTAAACGTATTATAATGTTTCATTGGAAATCAAGTTTGTAGTTTTTTAGAAAAGAGTTTTCTTGCTTATTCAGAATTTATTAGCACAAGAGGCATATGGAAAACTGTAAAATGATTCAGTTTCAAAACAAATTATGATAAACAGAAAAAAATAGGGATGAATTGTACTAAATACAGTGTTTTCATACACATTTTAAATTAAACTTTAATAGCCATATGCTATAAAACAATACATGCATTTACGTTGCTTTATAATTTTTTTTGAATATTTTTGCTAAAATTATTCATACAAATTTTTACTTTGGAACATAAAAATACCTCATTTTATGACTTGATAGTGAAAGTGCTACAGTTACATAGGTGAAAGGTCATCTTTTCCTCATCAATGTTTGTGCAACAAACGAAAAGGAGGGGAAAAAATCAAATTTTTTAAATTTTGTAAGAAACAAACTTGATAAAATGTAAAACCTGACTCTACTGTATCTTTCAAATAGCACGTGCCTAGCAGTAAACTATGTAAATATGAACCAGACTTTCATTCACTCTGGTTTCTTTTCCTAAAAGCAGCCAAAGGGAAGGAGTTTGTCTTGTTAGTCATATTAGAATGAAGAAAGAAATCTGGTTTTTCAGGGAAGAATTAGGGTGCAGACTAGGGACTCTAGGAAAGTAACCTGCCTTCTTTGTGTCTGGCTTCCCATCAGTAAAATGGGGCTTGATAAAAAGGCTTGGGGTCCCTAATTCTGTACCTGCTGAGTCAAAAGCTGCTTTGTATTTCATTGTGTATTTTACCAGAGTAAAGACTAGGAAGCAGCCCCCTTGTTCACAGAGCACTTTGGGAGCCTTAGATGAAAGGCACAATATATGTACAAAGTATTATTATTATTGATGGGTTTGTGTAACTCCCATTAACGCTGATGGGAGTTACGCATGTGAATTGGCAAGAGAATAGACCCCTCAGTGTTTAGAGCACATGAAATTTACATTTTTTCCAGTGCTGTAATTGAGATGTTGACAAATTGGAGAATATTGATGAGCCTTTGTTTTAAGTATTTCGTGCCAAGTTTGTTTTATTTTTCCTGGTTTGAACAATGGTATGG